CCAGAGAGACAGAGAGAGCGCCAGAGCGGCCCGTTCAGAGGCCAGACTCCATGCAGGAACCAGGCCACACGCTCAGCCCTGCTACAGGCAGGTCCACTTTATTGCACTTCTCAGCATCGATACACAACCATAGAGAGGAGATGAACAAAGAGAGGTCAGGCTGAGGAGCTGAGGGACGGACTCATCCGAGGCCAGAGACGGAGGGGAAGGGAGACTGTCTGTCCAGCTGGGTGGGCGCTGGCACATTATCACTCACACTCACACACTGACAGACAAAGGCACAAGGAGACACACATAGAAACACAGGTAGACAAGGCACAGGTGGACACACACACAGACAGCATAGACATGCGCACACACAGACACAGACGCAGATACGCACACAGACAGACATGCAGCACAAAGAGGCACACACAGTCAGCCAGACACAGACATGCACGCACACACAGAGACAGACACGCACATCCGAACACAGACAGGTATAATAGACAAAGACAGACAGGCAGACACCATTTCCCAAACAAAGCCATACAACCCCACTGAGAGCCAGATTTCAAGGCAGTCCTCATTGTCAGAGGAACACTGGTGCCAGTAACGAGCCCAGACTCAAGTTCTGGGTTCTGCTGTGGGAAAAATGCCCCTCTGGCCTTCAGCCCAGCCCAGCCTGAGGAAAAGATGCTGCTTAAACACAGACAAGTCCTTCAGTAACGCAGTTCATGCAAAGCAGGGCAAGACAAGTAGCCCAGACAATATTGCACCAGCGATTAATATTAACTGATATACTGGAGAGGAGACAGGGCTCTCAGTCCGACTCCCAGTGCACAGCAGGCTGATCCATGCCTGGTTTTATATTGTGCATACTCAAGACTCGCAGAGCTCTGTAGTCTGGTCTTCCCTGGACCAGACAGCTATTCAGACATCTAAAGTACAGCTGACCAACCCACTCCAGACCTGACTCCCAGTGCACAGCAGACTGATCTACTCCACTTGGGAGTCCCTTCTGTGCAAAAGGATCAGACTGCAGTGCACTGGGAGTCTGACTGACAGCCCTGTCACACCTGGAGCGGATCAGACTGCTGTGCACTGGGAGTCTGACTGACAGCACTGTCACACCTGGAGCGGATCAGACTGCTGTGCACTGGGAGTCTGACTGACAGCACAGGAATAGATCAGACTGGCCAAAGGAAGGTTTCAGATTGCCAGCACTGCTCTGGGAAAAGGAGTCAGTGTGTCAGTGTGTGTGGGTTTGTCAGTGTGTCACCGTGTCCGTGTGTGTGGGTGTGTCGCTGTGTCAGTGTGTCACTACATCAGAGTGTCAGTCTGTCGGTGTGTCAGTCTGTCGGTATCAGCTTGTCAGTACTGTCAGTCAGTGCCTTGATAATAAATACAGACAGACAAGGAAATGCGTCGTCACAATGACTGAATATTTGTGTGACAAAGAGGCAAGAGTAACTAGGGAAACAGGGTGAAGAGGAGCAGGAGGTCAGGGGTCAGACAGGTTCCATGGTGAGCTCCTCCAGGTCCCCATTCTCCAGCTCACGGAAGGCTGCGTGAGACCCAATCACAGCCAGCGTTGCACCTGAGTGACAGGAGCAGGGACACGCCTCAGTACAGCGGCACAGGAAGGGGAGGAGCAGAGCAGAGGGAGGAGTCAGACTGGAACTCACCCAGCACCCAGAACACAGCTGCTCCTGCTCCAGCCAACCAGAACACAGGGAAGGACACAGCTCCTGCCAGGGCCAGCTGGTGTCCCCCAGTGACCTCCCTCCCTAGACAGAGAGAGAGTTCATCCAGACACACTGTACATTAACACTGCACTGAGAGAGGGGTTAATACAGACACACTGACTGGACACTCCAGTACATTAACACTGCACTGAGAGAGAGGGGTTAATACAGACACACTGACTGACTGGACACTCCAGTACAT